GCACAACATGGTTTTAGAAAGGGTCTATCCTGTATAACGAACCTCCTTATAGCTAGGGAGTTCTGGATTAATGCGCTAGACAACGGAAACTCAGTAGATGTTGTCTACATGGAGTTCAGTAAGGCTTTTGACAAGGTGCCAACTAATAGACTGCTATTGAAGTTGGCAAACGTTGGTATTGCCGGACCTCTTTTAAAATGGATTAAGGATTTCCTAGTAGGTCGTAGGCAAAAAGTAAGAATAAATTCCAAGTGCTCCATCTTGAGACTAGTAATTAGTGGAGTACCCCAAGGTTCCGTCCTAGGTCCTTTACTTTTTATAATGTACGTTAATGATCGTACAAGTATAGTACAGTCTCCAATGTTATTATACGCTGACGATGTAAAAATTTGGCGAGTAATAACTGGAGACAAAGACGCATTTACTCTTCAGGCGGACTTAAATAATATGATAAACTGGTCTAAAAAGTGGCTGATGCCTGTCAACTCAGAATAGTGTGTCTACATGCACTTGGGGGATTCGAAGGTTAATACGTACAACATAGGAGATGTGTCATTACCCATAGTCCGGTGTCATAAGGACCTAGGGGTGACAGTGAGCAATGATCTTAAGACGACGGCCCATTGTCGGGAAGTCGCAGTTAAGGGGTTTCGAACCCTCTGGGCTTTAAAAAGGACATTTGTAGAATTATGGTCTGCTATGATATTAGTACTGCTCTAATAATAGACCTAATCCTAAAATTATAGACTTATCATGATATAACTGCCTGATCTATAAGATCTTACGTGGAAGTCATATCATCGTCTACACCAACTCATTGCATCACAACAATTACCAATATATGATAGAGAACAAGCTTAGGCTAGACATAGGACAATATATTTAATATGGTTAAAAGATATAAGATAACAGGGACCACGCCTGCATTGCCGAGCCATGCCATTCGATCAACTCCAACTCATCCAATTCCTTATTCGCGCCTTCTCCATCGTTAGGTATTTCTCCGCGTTAAATATTGAATATCTATTTTCTGAGTAGTCTCGTGTTCAGCTTCGTGGATTTTGCAGTTATTGTTCAGTGCCACTACACATTCATTAAGTTTGATACTACCATGTTCACCACATCATACACATCCTTAGTGAGAACTAAGTTAGAGAACTGTGTTCAGGCTGCAAGCCCCTGCTTAAAAGGTAACTCAGACATACTAGAAACAGTACAGAGGGCAGCTACGCTTGCAATTCCGGAGCTCCGAGGTTTATCATATTAAGAGCGGCTTGAAAAACTGAACCTCTTTACTCTGTCCTATCGCAGACTAAGGGGAGATCTAATATTGATGTACAGAATACTGAGAAATGATTTCGGACCTAACTTATTTTCTCTCTTTCTTCCCACTAGATCGGGACACCTCAGAGGACATAGAAGGCGAGTAGAAAAGCCAAGAACGAACAAAATACCCGTGGCATACAGGTTTTCACATCGAGTCATCAATACTTGGAACCTGCTGCCCGAAGCAGTGGTGTTCGCACCTTCAATTGACTCTTTCAAGAGAAGACTGAACACGCACAGAAGCATGCTAGAAAAGGAATAACATAGGCCGTAGGCATTCTGTCCTTACTACACAAATCTGAATCTGAATTAACAACCGAAATCGGAACAGACTCACCTGCTTCCTGAGATTGTGTAATCAGCATGTCAGTTGTGTACTGAAACCGCTGCTACCTAGAATTTGAACCATAGACTTTTAGACTATCCTCCCCCACAAAATAATGTTGGATCTTTATATCCCCAGTTTATGAATGACGTGGCTTCATTTAAAACATATTTCTCACATTGATTAGAGTAAACATTAGAAGTGTTCTTGTGATAAGGATAAACAGCAGTTGGTAGCGAATGCTACCAAGGCCTGTGTGGATAGGCCGTTCTACTTAGGAGTTTTATATGCCAACGCTCGTAGTCTACGAAATAAGTTCTATGAACTAGGAGCACTTGTGGACAGGTTAAAGCCACTCATTGTAGCAGTGACAGAAACTTGGTTAGTCCATGACTTTGACATTACTCCAGAATTATCCGGATACCATTACCTCGGGAGTCCTGTTATATATAGCCAATAGCATAAATATCCGCTCCTCTGCTAGCGAATCCCATGATAGCGGTACTTGTGAAGTCATTAGCTGTAAGTTGGCACATTTATGCTCGGTGTCATCTATCGCAGCCCAATTTGTTTAGCTCATGACTTTATTTTAGAGTACATTCATCTTTGGATTACAAATACCAAATGCTTGATAATAGGAGATTTTAATTCACCTGATAATAGTTGGAATGAGATGACCACAGAAGGATCTATAAACTCCTTTGATAGTAGGTTCCTGGTAACAATAATCGAGCATGCACTAGTGCAGCATGTATCCAAACCCACACGTTTTGGTGTTAACCAAGGTTCTTCTCTGTTGGACTTGGTAATCACTCATGAGACTGAGGATATTGTCGACCTAAATATTCTTCAACCGTTAGTGAATAGCGATCACGTTGTTTTGTCATTCGCGTTTAGAACTAGGGACATGTTATACGATCAGGTTACACCTCGCCCAAATGTTTGGAGAGCTAACATATCAGCCATTCAGGAATGCACTGCTAAGACAGATTGGTTTTTAGATACTAGCTTATCAGTTGAAGAAGCACGGTCTATATTTGAAGGTAAGTTTAGTCTAGTTACGTCCCCGTTCATATCATACCTGGTGACACGAAGACTGAATAAACGTCCACCATGGGTAACTAAACCAGTCAGGAAACTTCTTAGGAAAAGGAAGAAGCACTGGAATATGTTCATCTCTACTGGCTTAGAACAATACAGATCCAGTTATTGTAAGATTAGGAGTACCTGTAAAGCGTTAATAAGTAAGACTAGACTATCATACGAAAAACAATTGGTTCGGGGAGCTAGATATAGTCCGAAACGGTTATTCTTGTATTTAAAAAGGCGAACTCAGAGAAGCGATGGAATTCCACCACTTTTGATACAAGAAAATTCATTAATCCTAGCAGAAAATGATGCTGAAAAGACTGAGGCTTTATCGGAATATTTTAGTAAAGTATTTTCTATCGGTAATGAGGAAGGTACTGTTTTAAGGCTACTTCAGCATCTCAAACCTCATAAGTCCAGTGATCCTGATGATATTCATCCTAGGATTATGAAAGCCATATCAGATGAAATTGCTGAACCATTAGCGATACTATTCAACATGTCTCTGAGACAGTCCAGACTTCCTAGAGACTGGAAAGACGCCTTAATAAGTCCGGTGTATAAGGCTGGGGGTAGGGATTTAGTTAGTAACTATAGACCCGTTAGCTTAACTAGTGCAGTTGTAAAACTGATGGAGAAAATCATTCAGATAGCTGTTATAAACTATATTGAAGGGCAAAATCTTTTCTCCAGGGAACAACATGGTTTTTGGAGAGGTCTATCATGCTTGATAAATCTTCTCGTTGCAAGAGAAGATTGGGCTGCTGCAAAAGATCAGAATATTCCTGTGGATGTCTCCTTCATAGATCTAAGTAAGGCCTTCGATAAAGTCTCCCACTCTGGTCTTAAATTCAAACTGGAACGTTTAGGAATCCATAATATTGATAGGATAAGTAACTTCCTCTATGACAGGAGACAAAGGGTAAGGGTAAATGGGGCTTTCTCCTGGTGGATACCTGTAAAAAGTGGGGTTCCCCAAGGTACAATCCTAGATCCTCTTCTCTTTTTACTTTATGTAAATGAATTACCAACTATAGCGAAATCATCCGTCCTACTCTTCGCTGATGACATAAAGATTTGGAGACCCATACATTGTATGTCGGATAGAATAATATTGCAGGACGATCTTAGCTCATTGGTGGCATGGTTAGACAGGTGGTCACTAGAAGTAAATCCTAATAAGAGTGTAGTGATGCAGTAAAATAACTCTGATGAATCGTATGACTATACACTACGTGCATTCGTGCTACGCAAAGCAAGAAACTATAAAGATTTAGGAGTCATATTAAGCAGTGATCTCAAAACCACTAGTCACTGTAAAGCTGCTGCTACGAAAGACTATAGGGTATTATGGTCTATTCGTAGGTCTTTCCAGTATTTAGATGATGAAATGTTTAGATTACTATACCCGATTTATGTGCGACCACATTTGGAATGCGGGTTTTAAGCAGCGTGTCCTTGTTTCAAGTATGAAGCAGATATGCTAGAAAGAGTCCAACGACGAGCTACCAAGATGGTACAAGGTCTATCTGGCCTATCTTATGAAAACAGACTGAGACACCTTAACTTATTTCCGTTATCTTACCGTAGAATACGGGGTGATCTAACATTGGCTTATCGTATACTGAACGATAACCTTGGTATTAACATGTCTTATCTTTTGCTTCCGTATAGAACCGATCATTTGAGAGGACATTCGAAGAAAGTTCAAAAACCGAGATCCAACCGTTTACGTCTGGAGTTCCGTTTCTCGCACCGAGTAGTGAAATACTGGAATTCTCTACCGTAACACGTTATATCAGCATCGTCTGTTAATGTATTCAAAAAAATGTTGAACCTCCACAGTATTACAAACTGCAAGGATTAATATAGGTCAATAGACCTCCTATCCTTGTTACTGAAGACTGAAGACTGAAGTTTCTATGTGATTGCTCTTTTTTTGATGCTTTCAACAAAGTGGTTTTGCCTGTTAAGATGAGTAGAAATATTTGAATGGTTTTTGTGAATGAGGTGTTGGGTAAACACTGAAAACAGTTTTGAATAATTCTACTGTCATATAATCCAATATTCTGTAAATAAACTGCGTCCCTTCGAGATGTATCCATTTTCTATACTGGAGCTTATAGGATATTTTAAGAGCGATAGAGTATTAAAAGTCTCTCAAAATACAAGGCATTAGTACATGTTGTTTTTTTTCCACCAATAATGAAGAGCTTACATTGTCTATTGAACAACTGTTCATTGTTTGACACATTGCTTTATTTCAGTCGGACATATTATAAGCGCTGTAAGGTCGGCATTTTCTAGTGGCTAGCATGCCGAAATACGATCGTCAGGCCAATGGGTACAGAGTATTCGTTGGAGGTGTGGACCCTCGTGTCGGAAAAGTTGACATAGAACAAGAGTTTGAGCGCTTTGGCCCAATAGCAGATGTATGGGTTGCTCGAAATCCACCAGGATTCGCATTCATCGTATTCAAGTATGCAGAAGACGCAGATCGAGCAGTTAGGCGAATGGATGGGAGGTAAAAATGCACACATATACTTAACTTATCTCCAGTCGTCCTTTCGGGTCTCGTCTAAGGGTGGAACATGCGGTTAATAATAAAACTGCAAATAGGTAAGTCAAATTGTCTCTGAAGTCTAATCATTAGTAGTTAGTGAGTTTGTCTAAGGTTACTATTTTAAGTCCTTGGGTTCATATATTAGATTGTAAGCGTCAGATTACCGAGGACTTTCCGGTCTTAAGGAGTAGATTCATCATCATTCATATCAATGCATTAGCTATCCCACCTCAACACTAGGTATTCAGCCTGCTCATTGATAGCCAGTCTGTAGGTTGATTAAATTATCAGTGAAGCTTTACTCTGACTACCTCCAGGTCGACAGGTAAGTGGTTCAAAAACTAAGTTATCGTTAACTTGTGAGATATAAAGATTAACTAAATTACTGCACTTCTTCTTGCATCCAAGACTGCCTCGTGGCAGATATCACAACATCTCGTCAGAAGCCGCCCACGTCCACCACCTAGTACATCCATTAACTCCTGTTCCATCCACAAACTCTCAGCTCGGTCATCCAATCTACGCTTCCTCCGTCTGATCACAGATGTTCATCAGCTTGTGGCTAACCCAAATTCTCTCCGCTTACATCTTCGAATAATCTAACGCTTGCCTCCACGCTAAGCAGTTCATCGAAACATGCCAATAAGCCCGCGTTTTGTCACAGTAAGTTGCATAGCTAAGCGCACTTTAGGCTTTTGCATAGACATGCCTGATTCACTGTCGGGTATCCCTGTTTCTATTTAAAAAATAAATATTTCGAGATATGACATAAATGTTGATTCCCTGGAGCAAAATGCTCAATTAGTATACCGACGATCTCGTTCAACAGTTTAGTCGGAGTTAGACAGTTGAAGAATCAGTGATATAAACAATGCTGTATTACAAGTTTGATAAATCAACGGGTGCTGAAACAGTCGCTTAAGTTTAAACTGATTTCAGTGGAAAGCTGTCACGTCTATTATAGTTTGTAGCTCCCATTTAATCTATTCAACATTAGAAAGACTGAGCTGATCCCATTGTAAAAATAGTACACAAGGTTTCTCTCAATCCATTGAAATCTTGTTTGGTATGTTGTTGGATTCCTTGTCAATCATTCTTAGCTCTCAAAATTGCAATTTGTAGTTCACACCAATTAATTTCTATGTAGCCCATAAAAATGTATTAGGACCATTCGTTTTATTCTAAATGAACTCCAGACATTAGTTTAGCGCCTTTGCAATATAGGATCTTTAATTTTGCTAAGTCTTTATCAACTAAACCATGGGAGTTTATGGAAAGATTTGTGGGTACTCGTATTCCTAGCCACTCGTGTGTAATCCCTTATCTATCGTTATGTCTGTAATACGTCAAACACAAGAGCTCAGGGACTACTGTCAGAGTAGCGAGCGAAAAATTGTTAGCAATCACGGTGTGATAACACTACGACTGCTGATTGGCCTTATACGCGTTATCGTACGCGGTTATTCATAGTTTGCCTTCACCCATAGTTTGTCATGCTTGCCGACTCTTACTTACTCAGGTCATGAGTGTGGTTTCGTATTTTTCAGCCGACGTCATGATCGTTCGCGTTCCCGCTCATACAGCAAGCGTCGGCGAGATTCGCCACCGCGCCGACGCACTCCTGTACGCCGCTCTTCGTCAGGACGACGAAGGTAAGTCCGTTTTACGCCTCACTTTCGACAGGTCACCAAGTGATTTTCGAGACACAAGACGCCACTCACCACCCGGATATGAACGGAATAGGTCAGGTCATGAAGACCGTTATCGTACAAGATCCCAGTCTTCTAGCAAAAGATCCAGCAGACATAAAACTTCACGACCTCGCTCTAGAACTCCATCTCGGCAGTCTTCGCATCGCAACAGCAACCGACATTCCCGCTCTCAATCACGAAATTCTCACAAAAACAACGGACGACACAGTCCTACTCCGGATCGTCGCTCGGTTTCGGATTATGGTCGTTCTCATTCTCGGTCACCAGATGTTGAACGAAGACATAGCTACGAAGGTTCAGGTAGTCCAGTTGACGAAGGTCGCAATGCAAGTCCTGTTGATCGTGGTGCGCGTAATCATAATTCCCGTTCTGTGTCACGTTCACGCTCCCGGTCACAACAAAGCAACCACCGTTTCAGATCTCGGTCGCCATCTGACTACCATGATGATGCTGCCCCAAGAGAACATTCATCTGACAGTCGCACAGGTAAGATTCTAAGACAACTTATCCTCAGTTTGGTAAAGTTCGAATTGTTTTCTTTATCTTTCATTGTGGATCTAATAACCTAACCTGTAAGACGTCGATTTTTTGTCCAAATATAAAATGCATGTGATGAAACGTCAATTGGAAATATGTATCTCTGTCGCCTCAATCTCAAGCAAAGATTTGCTTCATGGATATCACCGACTGTAGTCTTGATAAACCTACCTGGTACATTATTTTAGCTCTACAGAGAGGTCGAAACTAAAATGTTAAGAAGAAAAGTTTTTTTATTTGTATTTGCGATAACGTCCACTCGCAGTATTTGAATGTCATAAAGACCTAGATTTTACATGTGGGCTACAACCCAATGTGTCAGAAGGTTTAACAATCAACCAACGACCAGTTAAAGGTAATATATCTTGCACGGACAGTCCTTCTACCACTTGGTAAGTGAGTCATCAGTGGAAATAAAAACAGCTTGTCAATTAATGTTATAATTCCGCACCTATGTATTGTACTGAAATATGTGCTTGGTAATTACTATAACCATCTGAAATAAATTTAGTAGTAATAATTTCATTTCCATGCACTAGTTTCTGTTGTTGTTTTTATTATACACACTTAATATTCCCTGTCTCTTCACAAATCCATTACTATTGTGTGGCGACGAAATCAAAAGAGATAGAAAAGGCGGTAACTGTAGGTAGCACAAGATAGCTCTACAGACTAATAACAGAAACTGGAATTAATAAACCAAGTGTAAGTGAGACTATCGCGGAAAAGACGACACTTATTTGTCCCCAGTCCAGACGTTTAGAACGATGGGCGGAACATTTTAGAGAACAGTTCAGCTGGCCTTCAGCTACTCTACAACTACTCACTATTCCCAAACAGCTTTGATGGAACATTGACGTAGTTCCAACGTCTCTGATTGGAGTTCACAAAGCTATAGCTAATCTGAAACGAGGAAGAGCAGCTAGTCCAGACGGATTGGCTCCATATGTCTTTAAGGGTGGTGGTGCAATCTTAGCGATTAGGTTGACTAATATTTTAGTTGAAATTTGGGAGTTGGACGTGATCTCATCTGATTGGTCACACTCACTGGTTGTCCCAATATGTAAGAAGGGGTCAAAATCATTCTGTGGTAACCATAAAGGGATTAGTTTGACTAATATAGCGTCTAAAATACTAGCCTCAATAATTATCGGAAATCTAACAAAGACTCGTGAATTGAAAACATGAGATCATACCTGACTTTGGCTGCATCGACCACAAACTCACCATTTGTCAGGTTCTAGAACACAGGCATACTTATCGGCGTCCGACAGTGCTGGTCTTTTTTTACTTAAAAGCAGCATTTGACTCCGTAGATCGCGAGATTCTGTGGCAGTGTCTGTCATTGAGAGGCGTACATCAGTAGTACATAAACCTTGTGAAGGCTCTTTACTCGAACACTACTAGTCGAGTGAAAGCTTATGGCGAACTGTTATCTGCTTTTGTAACCTCAAATGGTGTCCGTCAAGGCTGTCCACTTTCTCCATTTTTGTTTAACTTCATCATAGACCTACTGATGGAAATAACATTCTCGTCTACTGAATTCTCGGGTATTGATCTCCTTCCAGGAGGTCCACTTATCGACTTAGAATACGCAGATGACCATTAAGAGTGGAAGACAATTGTAAGCTACTAGTATTTGATCACTGATGCATTAGAAATATTGCTTGGATCACCGGGTGAGTAATAGTGAGGTTAGATACAGGGTATTAGGGAATGATGGTAAATCAGTTGATGAGGTTGTGAATCTTCATCGACTGAGATGGTTGAGCCATGTGCTGCGTATGCCTGGACATCGATTACCACGACGCACAATGCTGACTAGTGTTGGGGATGGTTGGAAGAAAGTTAGGGGCGGCCAAATCAAAACGTGGCATCAGTGCTGAAGTCACTAACTTCTAGTCTGATCCATGTTGGGAGATGCAGACTACTTGGTTGGAGACTATGGATGACATGGCTGAGAATCGATCACAATGGCGTAGGTGTATACACTGTTTTCCCTTAAACAATGAGACTAAAATTATTTCATATCTTTCTTTCTACGAACTAATTCTTTCTTCCTGTACTATGTCCTTATATGTAATGTTTCTTTTATATATTACCACCACTGAATTAACTACTTCTATGAATTCGGTGTTCATCTTGTGCTAATGAGGTATGGCAACTTGGACCGATGCATATATGTGCCTGGTCCTACGTTGTGGCTGGCTGACTGATGTATTTTGTGCCCTCTTGTACTCATGTTTATTCAGATATCGAATTTTCATATGTGCTCTTGCAAATGATCAGGAGTGATGCATTCGGTTGTCTGTTTAGATTAAAATTCTTATAGTAGTGATATTTAATATGGCAAATTTGAATATATATTATGTAAATCTAGTTTATTGGCATTAAATAACTTCAAGTATTTTTCTTTTTTTTCAGGTGATCAAAGTGGTTGAGAAGGCAAATATTGATATGCTTAACATGTTCATATATATTATCCTATAAATTTTTTTAATATTGCATTTGAGTGTCAATTCAGCGTGTTTTGATTATTTTTGCATATATGTATTGGTTGCCACATAATGTCAGCCATACTGCGAGAACTGAGTTGTGAGAGGTCATATTTTGCCCATCTTCTGTAAAAATTAAATGAGGAGAACCAGCACGTTTTGGGAAATCTTCGAAAATATCCAGACTGTATACGCTTAAAAACTAATATATATATATATATATATATATATATATATATATATAGAAAGGTTACTTTTATCAGGTTTGTGAATACGAGTCGCATCCCGAAATGAATAAATGCTTACGAATATCCCACTCTCCGAATCTGTTTGGCCTGATAGAAAGCTCTGTTTGTGTACTTAATAGCGATTGTTTATGTATACTGTTAAATTTGTGATTTAAAAGGACCTTTGTTTTGTCGCGGAGCGTCATTCGACAGCGTACATGGAGTGAACATTTCTGTCGTTTAATAACCGAATATTGGAGGTTTACTTAATTTTATCCTCGGCGTCTTACGATATGTGGATTGTCTCCGTGTTTTTAAATCTTCGAGTTAGTATTTAGAACCACATAAAGGACAAACAGCGTCGTGGTGTGATCATTTATATATTCAGAAGTTTTAAAAGCTTATGTGCGAGTGGTAAGAGTGCTTTAGTCAATCGCAATGACCTCAGTATGCTATAGCGATAAGCATGTGATTAATATCTAGTGCATCAGCCGTGTCGAGTTAAATTTATCTCACTGTGACCGCATCTCGACACGGGTATCTCCTAGCTCTTGTCCATGGGTTTGTATGTTACTGTCAAAAGTCCAATTAACATTTATTTATCTATTTCACGTTTTCATACCGAATGGCCTGTTTCGTGCTTTTAAGAAACCCATACTCGTAAAGGCGCGCCATCAAGGTGGGGTCAGACAACTTTATCATAGGATCTTTCTGCAGTAGGTCGGTGTCGTTGACCACCAACACCTGTTGTCAAGGAAATCCATTTGGTTGATATGTCATTTGTGTTGTGGGTTCCGAACATCTGTTAGTGCATGCTTGTCATGGCCCTTCATATAAATACTAACAAAGGACATAAGTGAAAGCGCAAATAATAATTGTAAATAAGAGAGATAATAGGTTAACATGGTGGAGACAGAATAGGAAGTTGTCGCAGTGCTGTAGTCCATATTAACGACTTGAAGTTCATTACGGTGGATTTAAGGTTATAAAAAATTGTTTCTGTACGCATAAGGGAGTTTTGAACTGGATTTTTCGTAATGTATAGTTCAATTCCACATTTCGCAGACCATTTCTGTTCTCATGTTTGATAACGGTCCGGAACAGTTTTGTGTAAACTGTTCTACTGAGGCTAGTTGGTCAGGGTACGCGACTATCTGAAGAAGTGTGCTGACTAATATGATGTGCCACGAATGGGACTGTCCTTAGATCATAGACGGTACGGTGACAAATTAGTTTCGTTAGGGTCTAATATTTTATCTCAGCTGTGTGTGGCTCGTGTCGTGCAGCAATATTTAGGCAATGTTATCACAACCAAAGTTCTAGTTAGAGCAGATATCTGTCTGGCAATACGTTTGGAAGAATGATAAGAAGGAACGAATGAGGATACGTTAACCGAGATAATTTCACACTGAGTGTCTAGTGACATGAATAGTTAATTCACCAAAAGTTTGGTAAGTAGACCGAAACGACTTACACGTTGGGTTGTGTATCACTTGAAAGTATTTATCCGACCAGTGTGGTGTGCTTGAGTTGTATTTTAGATGTCCCATTTATTCCTGTAAGTTATTCGTTTTAAAATTGATCCCATAGATCTTAAGGATATAAGGTTCGTGTTAATTGTTTACAGGCCATATCTCGTCGGTTGCATCATTTGAAATGTATCAAAGTTTGGCAACGTGCACCCAGGTCAGTGTCCTAAAATGTGGAATTTAGGTCTCGATGTGAGCGCTTAATGACTTATCAACTAAGATGTTACTTAATATCGTGCATAGTTTTTTAATTTCAGTCTATGAAGAGATCACCCAAGCCTGTAAGCTGCCATTTTTGGGGAACACACTAGTTTTTTGCTAACGTTATTTCAAAAGTCCAGTTTTGTAGCGCTCAGTTTCATACTTGTCTCTAAAAGCAATCATCATAACAATAAAATATGACGGTTCACTCTTCAAAAGTCGGATATCTTTTGTTTGATTCATAAATGGCATTAATGACGGTTCGAATAACCTATTTTTAACGATGCTGATAGTATTATAAATCCAAATGTTTTGCAGTCCCTCAGATTACAACAGTAAGTCCAGATTTCTGCTGCATATACGTTGCTGGTAGTAAAACTTATTTTTAGTGTTGTGTTTTCGGGCACTTAATATTTTTCTAACATAAGAGTTTCAAGTTTATTGTTATAACGGTAAGGTTGTATAAGAATCTGTGAAATTGTGCTTGAAACTGAAATAAAATCATTTGTTTAAGAACCGACATTCGAGATTTCAAATGGCCTGATGAGCCGTATGTACAACAATGAGGTCGTTATCTTAACTTCAGGAATGGAATGTTTAACTCTATTTATTATAGTAATTACACATTTTATTTTTTCTTAGAAAATTTATATACATTAACGGAATTTACTAAAACTACTTAGTATGTTGTCATGCATAAATTATGTGATTCATTATTTATGTTCAGCTCACTATTTAATAAATAATCAAATATTTCTTTTTCTACATTCACGATATTCCAAACATACTTTTGGTACTAAAGAATGTAGAATAATTTGTAATATTTCATTTTGGATATTGAATTCCAATATTCAAACTATTTCTTAGTAAATTGGCTATTTTTGTAACACGCAGTTGTATGTGCATGTTTATAAATGAATATAATGGAAACTTGTCAGTAAAAAACTGATGGATACCTTGTGGGTGGTTAATTAATTGAACTGTATTTCAAATAATAATTATTGTTTTGAATGTTATTTCCTTTTTTTACTATAAAATTGTATAACATTTATAATGAATTTACTAAATACTTTTACTTGACAAGTAATTCTTATGCACAGTTATATTACTTGTAATGCCTATTGTACTCTGATATCTTTCTCATGTCGCTGAATATCTTTTTAAGGGAACGTGTTCTAAACTCCACAATAACCTTTTTGTTTTAGTTGTATAAAATTGTAGTGGTTCTGTTTGTTTCTTCTCACTATTTAATTTAACTAATTTATTAAATGTCTTATGTACTAACACGATTTTTATCAAAAGTCTCTGAAGTCTACCTTGATACTTAAATACTGCACAACTCAAATGAAAGCAACAAAGTAATTGATATACTTTTCCTCCTTGTCAATTTGGGAAAATAAGAGAAAATCACATTAAGATTCATTGACCATGTAGATTGTGTCAAATTAATTATCAGGATTCTCAAAATTGCTGTATATTTCTTGCTAAGAATTTGCCCTGTGAGTGAATAAGCAAGTAATAATATTATTATAACCTTTTTTATATATCAAACTCATCAAAGAATTTCGGGAATAACAGGCTAAACAGTTAAACCGCTTAGCTAAACCAATCTCCTAAGTTATTCATTTTCCTCAATATTTTCAATCAACAGATCACCTTTGTAGATGTAAATAATCCAACAAACCATATATATACCAATTGTTTAACCTGATTGGCGGTTTTTAGCAAGTTTATTTCTATGGCATGGGGTTGCCAACCCCGTGCGCAACCCTTCTCTTTATTTTGGGCTTGGGACCGGCAATAGCCCTAGAATAGCTACAGATGGGAATATGTATTACATTTGGCATAAGCCATTACTCAATAATTTAGGCATCTGGGTTGCATCTCTCTATTGGGATTTCATTTCATTTTAAATATAAGAAGTCCAAAGTTACAAATTGTTGTATATACTTAAATCTTGAACTCACAACAATGAATGAGTTCATTTTATTTGTATCTCGTAAATGAGGTTCATTGGATGTAGGCAACCTGACAGTTAGTATTAGGTTATTACAAAGATGTTAACATGCACACCGTTATATATATATATATATATATATATATATATATATATATATATATATATATATATATATATATATGACTTTTTAGTTTGTTTTTGGATAATTGATATCCAGATGACAAATATAACTGAATTTTTAAGGTAGTTATCCTATCCCTGATATTTAATAAAATTAAAGTTCCTCTTTGTTGTTCTGTTTAAATATTTCTATTGTTAAATGACTAACAATCATGCCACGAAATATTAGATTGTTTTATAAGTTCACGCGATCTTCACCTGATGCTTTTGTCTTTACAGTAAATCATTCAAAAGATTTCTGAAAGTTATTTTTAAATATCATAATTTAACCTGATAGATTAGAACAAATGGGACAATTGATGAATAGTTTAAAAGACAAAAAATTTTCTAGTCTAAATGAAATAATGGCGTCAATTATCTCCAATCTTTGCTACATGAAATCAATATCTCAGAGTTTTCATTTGTTAACGTGTGTTATAAAACAATATAATTCATTAAAATAAAGGTTTCAGTATCAACGCAATCATAAGAACAAGACATGTTTGTGCATTTCGTTCATGGATAAGAGGTTTCTTTAAATACAACTAAGAATGCATGTTTTAAATTGCAAATAGCTTGTTCATTATTAGTTTGAGGGCTTTTGTTTTCGAAAGATATTACATGTATTTATGATGGGTTTATCAGAACAGATGCTATAAGTAGGTGAACAGTAATCAGTACGTCCGATAGGTGTAAAAGATAGTATAATTGGCGAGTCATTTCAACTGGTTATAATCTTGCCTTCTATGCATGAGTAAATTAATATGAGTACCGATTGACGACTGAATTAAAGATTGGTATTTTCAAGATGGTAGAGAATAGTTGCAAATGAAAATGAAGACTTTGAGGATGCTTTGTTCTCACAGATGAATGATTTACTCGTGAAGCTCTCATTGTCTTTATTAGAAGCATGATACTGCGGTAACGGATCAATCAATGGACCCAC